CTTGTTTCTTGTTTAAGATCAAGAAAAATATTATTTTGAGAAAAACCGCACGGATTCAAAAAATATATACACATAGGTTGTTATTATCAAAATACTGGACTTTTTGATAGATAACATATTTGTTGAGTTTGGTGGGTTGATATATTAACAGCCAGTCGGTATTCCAATGTGTACTAATTGTGTATCGTATAAGTGTATGTACTCATATGAAGCAGAATTCATACAAAAAAACAAAAAACAAAAATCTTACAAAATTCTTTAATTTCACTTCAGTTAAATTGATAGTGTCCTGTCCGGGTCAAACTAAAGACTTTAAAAACGATATTTGCTACTTTTCCGCTAAGCAAGCAACATTAAGGAATAAGATCAAAGACTGGTCTGCTCGGAGTCAGAATAACATGTGCGGGTAGGTTGACATGTCACCTTGTGAACTAAAACGTTTATAATCCGGCTCAGCGTATCGGTCTAGTACAAAGCATGGTTATTATTCATATTACATTACCTTGTTCGCGTTCTGAATATGCATTTTTAAAATTTGTCGCTGGACGTTAAACGTCCATCCATCATCATCATCATCATCATCATCATCATCATCATCATCATCATCACCTTGTCACTCAATTACCCTCAGTTAAGTGAGTGCTTGCATCTCATATATCCTAGTGAGATTGGGATTAAGGGTACTACCTTAACTAGAAGGTCCGCTTCAAAACTTGATCTGTTCGTCGATAACGACAGACGACGTCAAACTAGAACCAATGACAAATTAAGGGAATACGATACAGTAGCAGGGGCAGATAATAACGTTTTCAAATCTGTTCGTGTTGTTTTCGCGACGTTGTTAATCAGAACGTTGTAATTTCGCGAAGTTTCTAATAAGAACGATTACATTTCGCGACGTAGAGTTAAATGTAGTCACCGTGATTTGGGGAAAATCCACTGACGTCATAATTCAAGTTGCGCGAATTTGAAACAAAGTACCTGCTAAGAAAATCGGCCATATCGCGTCATAATTCCGGTTGCGCGAATTTGAAACAAAGTACCTACTAAGAAAATCGGCCATATCACGAGAAAATTGTTTTATTTATTCATTAATAATGAGGTCAACAGTATTAACTTGAAATGTGAAAAAAATCAAACCACATTCATAATTTTGTATGCGTTTTATTTCATATAAGAAATGAATAAAAGATAGGTAAATAATAATACGTCGATGAGACAGAAATCCAATTACACAAAAAGCCCAATAAGTAATTTAGATATTAACGTACTGTCTTGATCAAAACATAGTATCTACACCATTTTGCAAACTCTAAATCGTATGGAAAATTTTACAGATAAATTTAACGGAGACTATCAACAAAATGACAATTAGCATGATAAATAAAGACAACGCCCAATACTGTTCCTGACTTTGAATAAGTACACTAAAAAGTTAAACGGCATTTTTAGAATTTAACCCAGTGGAATATATATGTGTATATGTGTATGAAAAAGAACTGTCAGTTAAAAAGACACAGTTATAAGCCCCGTATTATAGACGGAATGACAGACAGAAGGACGGACGGACATACAGACAGGGGTAAAACAATATGCCCCCCCCCCCCCCACCCCCAACGGAATTGGGGCGAGGGGTATAGAAATACCCTGAAGACAAGCTTACGCAACTTATCTATTAATACAGAATAATGCAATTTCATGCTCTAATACCGACTGCTGTACTTCCTATGAAATGTTAAACTACACCGTAATGGACTATATTGAGATAATTACGACATGAATTTGCTCGAAACAGCTCTAAATATTAACTTTTTAAACATGTTCAGAGTAGTTCTAAGCTGACCCGAGTTAATGTGGGTATGGTATTGTGTTCATATAATGCCTATATAGTAGGCCGTTAGTTTTCTTGTTTAAATTGATAACATTTTTATGTCGGGCTTTTTAAAGCTGACTTTACAGTGTGGCTTTTTTTTTTTGTTGAAGGCTGTACGGTGACCTTTAATTTCGTTTATCTTCGTAATTTGAACTATGGTTGATAGTTGTTCTCATTGGCAATGGTACCAACTGTCCTTATCTTTATACTATCCCACTTACTTTATAATTGTTTCATATTTTGTCATGTCGGGGCTATTTGAATAATTAAAATTATGCCCAAGCTGTGTTGTCTACATGAGTTGACGGACAAATGTCGGACAGAGATGCAATTTTTTTTTTTATCAGATTTATCTTTTTTGTTTCCGCACCTTTCTTTTCTAAAAGTATTTACTTTTTGTATCCGAGTTTCGTAACAATTCATAAAAGTTTGGCAAATATGTTATGCTATTTTACGAGTAACCAGCTTTGAAATTTTGATGATTAATACATTGTATCATTGTTTTCGAAAAAAAACCTTGGCTATACCAATGAACTTGACAGCGTAATCGTGAACGGCGGGAATGATTTCACGGCGTTATTGCGATTAAAACTTATTTCAACGTAGTTTACCGCCCTATTGGCAACCTATTGGTTTGTCATTACAAAATCAAGGTTTATTGCTTTTATTGAAAAAACAAGCACATGGACCCCCAGTTTTTTCTTTTGCAATCAATCAAATAATGTTTAAAGAACGCTCCGCCAAAATTTTAGGAAAAAATCAACGATCGAACTTTTTCTGCACTTCTGAATAGACGCAAAAATATTGTCAATTTCTTTATTTCACTAATAGTTATCGAAATTCTGAAATAATTATTTGGTTTAACTTTAAACTTGTTACAGAATGGTCATGCCATGGACCAAGGGAACATTTTACAAAAAACCCGGTTAAGCGTCTCCTACTTTGCAAGCATCACCAGCCATGCGAATTCACACTCAGTCAAATTGTCACAAGATCGGGAATATGACACAGTTGGTAAAATTACAGACCAGACAACCTAATTGGTGTACGCAGATTTAAGACCGCAATAACATGTCGCAATCTAGTAAGTTTTCAAACCAATTCCTCTGAAACTTATTATTAAAACTTAGTGTCGAAGTTAGTCGTTCTTAATAACTCTGCTCAAGCAGTTTTTATAAAGTTACTTTCCATTTTTTTTAAAAAGAAACAAATGAGGTAGGATATATCAAGAAACAATCACAAATCATGAGTCGGGTATTAACAGACATTATAACAACAAAAAACCTTAACTACAATTAAAGAAAGCTGGAATAATACGAGTCCCGCCAAAACTGGGTGTACACTCAGATGCTCAGGTATGGTATGGTCAGTAGTTTCTGGTCTACCAGTGACGCACTCTCAACATTTTCCACAATAGAACAAAGAATAAGTAACAGTTGAATATCAACACGACATTGTTTAATTTTTGGAACATGAATAAATGAAGTATGGGGGATACGTCAATGAAAATATAATGTAAATTTACGACAAAATTGAATGTCAACCAGGAAACTTATACCCTTAACATTATCTTGTTGTTGTTTCGACATTCATTCGGCATTTATTCGGCTTTGAGCGTTTTAAAATCAAGAAAAGCGCTTCGGACGCATGAAATTTATAACATGTTGAATATCTATTTTTAAGTATATTCTAGTAAAGATAGTTAACCCCGTCAAACCTAGTAGATAAAATAAACTAAGCTTTTCTGTACAAAAACAGAAAAGTCATTTACATTATATGTATTTGAATGTATATAAATGTATATTTTTGGGAAATATTTTTGTAATTGTATTTAGGCAAAATTCACATCTTCTACATGTGAATAGTGTCTCAATTTGCAGAATGAATGATAATTATTCCATAGCTAAAGTTTCGTACTGTTAATGGAGATGAAAGAGGCAGTATTGATAGAACAATTTAAACGATCGATATTATTACTTTAAAAAACGAGCACTATGAAAAATGTCTTCCGTAATAACAAAAGAAAACCACAAAATATTCAAGTAAACGAACTTATAAAAAATGGAAGATGTAACGGAGAATGCTCTCAACTGTAGATTAAAACCTCGATCGCCGTATACACGACTTCATTTTTTATTTTTATTAGGTTGCTAATTGGTCTATGCAGTTCATCTACAGTGATAACTAGCCTGTCAACACCGAGGTTGTGATTTCGAATCTCGCTCGTGGTAAGATACATTCTACTCCAATCTTTGTTGACTTAGATTGCCAGTTTTCCTGCCGGAGGTCGGTGGTTCTCTTCGGGGTACTCCGGCTTCCTCCAATAAAAAAATCTGGCCACTATGATATAACACCAATAATCAATCTACCAATCTGTAAACTATATCGAAGTTTTGCAACTTCTATTATGAAAAGATTCCATTTTGTTTTCATTTGTTTTAATTCGAAGCTGCGGGATCATGAGAACTACCGAATTGCTTTAAAAACGAATTACGGTAAAACCAAGCAAAATTAAAGGCAACACAAAATAAATCAGGCAAAGAAAGACAATATTGTTACGTATCAGAAAAATCCTAAAATCGCAACCAGGTTATGAACGTCACGTCACGAAAGCCTCGTAGAATAACAACATAAACGGTACCAATTTTATTGAACTAGATTTCGATGGGCATCATCAAAATTTGAGTTATCATGAAAACACGAAGTGTGTGAAAAAAACAAAACAAGATATATAAGAGTAATCTCTCTACTAGCGAGGCTCACAGCTGAGTCGACATTAGCCAATCAAACATCGGATGCCTGCTACATGTTAATCATTTATTCCCCAACTGGCTGACATCCAGCTAATCAAAACGCTTTATGACTAGAGTGGCATTAGACACAACTAAATCACAAAACCATGTCCTCTATGTAGATTCCATAACCAGCTAGAAATCCCATATTTGTAATATTAAAAAGTTCAAATGAGTAAAAAAAGATGTGTTTCATTTGTAATCATGCCACACCTTTTTTATATTTAGTAGCAATTAGTAGAAAATAGCACTTTATTAATTTGGTAAATTAGAGGCAAACTGTGCTAAATGTCATAAGCGTCCTATCCGTACATTGGAGTTTTTGCGATTACAAAAATTGTTGACGGACAGACGGACAAACGGAAAAAATTGAAACTAATGGACTCCCGCATCTTTAATACATGAAACGGATATATTTTGTCGTTATTACGACATAGGAAGTCGTTATTTTGACATAAGGTGTCATTATTACGAAATATATTTATATAGCACCTCCATCAATGGTGGTTAAAAACGGCTTTTGGCTGTCTTTAGAACCGTTTTGGTATTATGCTCTGAAACATTTTATATGTTTGGCTTTCTAAATTTACTGTCCCGAGCTTAACTGCTGAAGGCTATTTCTTAAACAAATGTTGTGTACACGAATTATATTTGTTCCCCCAAAGGGTATCGAAACACATTAAAGCTTTAAATGAAAAAACAATATATGTACATGTTTATGTCAATGCAGATAAATGTTAAAATTTAAGTAAGATTTCTTGTTGCGTATCTTTTAATACGACTTTAAAATATATACTATACTAAATTTTGTTACCAAATATGCAAATTAAGATAATTTACAAGTCAATGGGCTAAATTTGCCATTGTTGTGCAGTAATATTGACTTTTATAATTACTATGAACACAAAAATCTTGCACTTATAGTTTTCGTTCTCAACTAAAACGATCCATCAATAATTGATGAATATAATTTGAAGTTTTCAATTTCTATAATCACTAGATTGATTTCGTAGACACTGCATTCTAAAACAAAAATGTGAAAGATCTCTCAAAATCACACATTTAATGTACTGCACATTGTCCATAATTCATGTCTGTCTCTAAATATTGTCAGCAGTACACTACAATCTTTTATTAGTCATCTTTTTGAATAGGATACAGAACTTGCAAAACATCCCCAATTCAGTTTCAGTATAAAAAAATATAACACATTCAGGGCTACACTTGTATCATGAAACAAAGTTGAATACAATAACTTGATGGATATCTATCTAACTAAATATCAACAGTTATAAAAGTGCATCCTTTCGTATGAATCTGCAAATCACTCTTTGAGATCAATGTACATATGCATGAATATGCTGCCGGCATATCTTGTTCCTTTTCTATAATCAAAATAACGTATTTTTGTAATTTACACTTCTTCGTTATCATTTGATTTCTGAGTTATGTCGTTTGTTTGTTCAATAAATTCTGTTGTTTCGTCGTGTTCATCGTCAGATCGCTGTAATTCAAACGCAATATTTATACCACTAGGAATGGAAACGCCCACACTATCGTCGTCGATACTACAGGAAGGTGTATGATTTGACGATAATTTATCGATAGTATCGTTTGATGAGTACGATGATACAGTCTCTTGTCGTTTAAGAAATCGTTTTATTGCTTTGAATCGAGATTTCTTCTCTGCTGTTCCTGGGTCACTTTCAACAGTAAATTGATGTGATAACTGTTGAGTTGTAACTCTGTTTTTCTTTAAATCTTGTGTACTTCCACTTACAGAATTTTTATGACAGTCTTTAAGTGAAATTGTATCTTCTTTGGAAACGCCTAGTTTACCTGTCCATTCTTCAGATTTTCCTCTTCGCATCTTTGGTGCATGTAACATATTCCAAAAACTTCTTCCATTTTCTTTTGTGCCGACAAGTGAGCCGAACGCTAGACTGGCAAATGAGCCTTTTAATCCTCGTGCTTTATTAGTTGACGTTGGAACTAAAAATGAGAAAAAGATAAGTAATTTTGGAAATTGAAAATATATGTATATTGTCAATGTATGCAGTATTAGTACATAAAACCCACATCCAAAATAATAGAAATTATTTATTCTGACACCTCTCTCCAACAGATACAATATACAAAATATGAATTCAATACTAAACTTATAGAACACAATGACAGCGTACATTTATAATTAAGAATGAGTCAATTTTTCAGGCATTTTTACAATTTCTAATGTTTGTTTAAATGGATAGTTCATAGCAGAAGACTGGCACCAGTCTAATGGTTTCATATATCATTACGTTTCTGTTTTCAAACCAATATTTTGGTCTATTATATAACCGTAAAACTGGACTCTTTAATTGGAATATAACTTTTATTTTAACTGCAGATTTATGTGGTTTCACTATGTAAATTTCTTACCTAGATTTTGTTGGATTTTCCATTCATCAATACCTTCAACAAGACATAGTTTTTTCAGCAACTCTATTTGTTCCTGAAAATGTAATATTTTTTAAAATCTTGATCAGAAAAATGTACCAGTTAAAATCATTAGACCCTTTAAACTATCGTAGAGTTATGCATTTTTGATTGGCAATGACTTAAGTATGCTATATACATTTAATTTGCTGAAAAGGAATGATTTTGCAGTCTTACATGGTGTCAGTAACAATTAGAATTTCATTAAGTATTGTTTAAATGCAAAATGCATACATGGTAATGCATGCATTTGTTTATATAGAAATAAGAAGATGTGGTATGATTGCCAATGAGACAACGCTCCACCACAGACCAAATGACGTAGAAGTAATAAGCACCTAAAGGTCATCGTACGGTCTTCAACAAAGAGCAAAACCCATATCGCCTAGTAAGCTATATGTTCATTTTCTTCTATTAGCACTTAACAAAAGTTCCGTTCACTGAGTTTAAGAATTTGTTTTAAGCCATAGAATATGACTTATCTTACGCCAGCTCGTCTATTACATCTATGTTATTGATGAGAATGAATTAAATAATGAGTACACTAAATGTAACTATGTACTTATAACACGAGCAGTGACTTTGTTCTTATTTATTTACATGCTACTATTGTTTAATAAAGACCATATGTTTTTGCCGAATACCTATTATATGTAAACTTACAGATAAGAAGTTGGATAAAACCAATCGAATGTTCATACTGAAGTATATGTTATAACAAACAAAAAACAAAAGATTGATATGATCGTCGGCATGAAATGTCATTGCCTTGTAAACACTTGTATATTTTGCGTTTTTCATTAAAAACAACGTAAATATCTAAGTGTGTGTTGCACAGATGGTAGAATATGTGTTTGACATGATTCATAAGTTGTCTTGAGATCGTAATATTAAAGGTGAAAACATTCAGCTTTAAACAGAGGATTGGTCCGTTCAACTGACCTACTCCATTTCAAGTTTGGTATATCTGTATTCAGAGATTGCAGGGACCGGTATATATATCTTTAAATATTCTTTGTTAACTTGACTCATAGATTTTATTGGTGTGGACACCAATGTTAAGCTACATTTTTACCATATTTTAGGAAAATATCCCTATCCAAAATAAAAATCTTCCTTGCCAGGTTTCATGCGTTATTCAATTTGTGATTTGTCTAATATAGACATGTTTGGATTCTTCTTGTTCAAATAATTCATCTAATAAATTTTGGCCGGCATCTTGACCACATTTATTTATAACGAAAGCTTTTGTAACTTTCGATATCTTTAATATGTATTCTATCCACTCCCATATTTTTCCTAATCAGTCAATGTTTTTTTCTATCATAAATGTATTTATTTATCGGTTGAGTGTAGTAATACTTTTTAAATGTATTACCACAAAAAACTCCGTACCACTCTTTATCCTATCATCATTTGATTATTCACCTGATTATGATAAAGCTACCTCTTTTTTTATAACATATCCGCGTTCAATGTATAAACAGATATGCTCTCTGATTTATGGAGTGTTCCATTTCTTTAATACTAGAAATACACGAGGAAGGCTATTGTAGGTTTCATACTTATTTTTCACATACTCATAACGTGTATGGCAAGATATTTTCAGTGAAATTATTTGTTTTGGTTCGAAAAAAGTAGATAAAAAGTTAGAAGAGCCATTTAAGGTAACGTTGAATTGAGTACCAATGATATATATGTAGATTTATAATCAGTGATTCCGAAGTTATAAATCGGAGATGCAAAAATCCGCCCATCTGCTATAGAATCGAAAATGAACAGTACAAACATAATCCCATAAACATTTCATGAAAATAAAACATAAAATTAGCTATTAAAGACCAATACCGACGATAACAAATGTCTTTTCATACTCATTTATGGATATATACTCACAAGTAATTTTGCTTTTTCCTGTCTAAGTCCGTTGTTTTCACAGTCAACTCGTTTCTTTTGAGTGAATAACAATTTAAGTCGAAAACATTCATGATCCCGAACAGCAACAACAAGACCTATACAAAAAGATATATTTTGAGGTAATTCCACTCTTATTACTTGTTAACAAAATAGGAATAACATGTTGAATAATGATTATATGACATCATATTAAGAAAAGGTAGTGTATTACGACATGCCTTTGAAACTTAATATATGATCCACATATAAGATCTCCATACTTTGTATTATGAAGTTGCTCTTTTTGAGATTATCATTCATGTATCTTAAAATTATGACGTGCTTCAATTTCATTCACTTTTGTTTGAGAGCACTCGGTAATACATTTAGTTTCTATTTATGATGCATTTCATGGTTCATGAACTATAGAGATATAGGGTTGTATATGCAAGAGAGTTCTACATCAATTAAGTATTTTGTCTTTCATTGTATATTGCATGCTATCAAATTCATTTTTTAAATGTTATATAAAGCTCATTTCTACATTGCATCATAAAAGAGTATGAAAATTCAAAACAAAATGTTTAAAGAATTATTTAATTGAACATGTATCACTAACATAGGAATGTACTGCCATAGTTTTCACTGATATAGCACATGTTGAAATATTGTTTTGTCAAGTTACTAGATGGAATCAGTTAACATTAGACATAACGAGTCTGATGTACACTAACAGGCTGGGTTTTTTCCTTAATTTTCGATTGTTTCATTTTAATTTTGACTCAGATACATCTTATCTTATTTATCTGTAGCAAAAAGTAAGACACAATATGTGTGTTTACATAGAACGATTGCAAGTATTTTCAGTTTTGATAGTCAAAATGTATCGATCTAATTTCATTCCAGTTAAATATTGCTGTTTTAGGATGGCAGCAATTATATGTGTCCTCTAGTATGGTAATCTTTTTAACAGATAACGTCTTAAAAATCAGATGTCAAAGTCAAAAATGGACTTATAAGTTTTTTACAGACTCTTTAATATTTATCCACAAAAAACATCGAATATCCGAATTGCACTTCGAGCAGACAGTTTGCAAAATATACGAAATCTTATGTATTGGAATACCAGGAGAAACTGTAAACCCACTTATTTTCGCGGATATTGTTTTCTCGTTCAGCCTTTAGCTCAATCTGTGACGCGTATTCTTAACGATTTTTTTTTACTTTATTGGTTAATTCACATAAAAGAACATCCACACTTGACATAATCGCGGCGATTTTTTATTCGCAAAAAGTCGATCATTTGGTTTACAAGATGGGATATACGCTAAAGTGGCAGCAACTTAACCTCCCTCCTCTTCCCATGAAAAAAAAGTAGAAGTACAATCTGTCTTCAACAATAGACATGTGTATATCAAATATAGCAACGCCTAAAATGTCCCAAGTCTAGAAATAATGTTAATAAATACAATGGAGGGTATACTAATCTGCCATTAATACCAAACCCTTGAGGGACAAACACATTTACAGATGACTAAAAACCACAACTGACATTGTTCTTGACTTGAAACAGATACACGAACATTTGGAAATCCAATTAGCTCTTTAATAATGGAGCAAATGTTCTTATCCTTAGCGCATGTACATTTTTATGTGTAGCAAATATAACATTTGTACTTATTTTTCAATCCTAAACTAGTTTATCAATTGAAATGCTTATTTGTTAAACATTTTGTTTATAATAGAGATAACAGAGTTAACCGATGTTTAAATCTCGTTAATTCATTTAGAATATAGAAACCTCGGGGCATAATATGAACTACATAAACGGAGCGAGATCGGGTGGGTCGACAAGATTTCAAAGATATTCTTGCTATGCATGCATTACCAACCATAAACACTCAGTCAAAATGTCACAATAAGGAATGAACACAACCGCAATTAATCTATTAATCAGACGACCAGTGTGCTACCTAAAGATCTCAGATCGTGTAAACGTGTGGCCTATGTGGAAAGGCACAGGGACATCGTATCAGTCAATTGATTTGTGATTGTGACCATGACACTGATGTAGTGTCAATTTTAATCTTTTTTCCCTGCTAAATCACTGTTTTGAGTCATGACCACACACCTGTTTTTAAAGTTCCTATAATGTGAGCACGCACGTGCGGCGTCAAATAACAATTGAGATATGTAAATGCCGTACGATATGCAGAATGTGTGTCGCTGGTGAAATATTGGAAAGTGACAATGAAAAAACTGAAACCGTCATGTTTGTCATACATCCTAGTTTGACGTCGTGCAACTGTGTCAATATCAAGAAAAAGACCCAGACATTGTAGCCTTAGCTGTAGCCTTATTTCTTAATTTCACTGGGATATATGATTTGGAAGTACATGTTTAAATGCATACAGATAGGCCCTTGATATAATGAAATTCTACAAATTCCTGCCTCTATTTTGTTCAGCTTTGGTTCATTTATAAGAATAGCTTATTTCTTATTGCTTTGGCCTTCAAACTGTTTTGATTCGAGGGTCATTGATGAGGTTTATGTAGACGAAACAAAACGCGCGTCTGGCGTACAAAATTATAATCCTGGTATCTAAGGTGAGTTTTACGACATAGTATACCGATTTTTTATTTTTTTTAAATGGAAACATGAAACTTTGAATTATATTTTTTGGAAAGATTTACATGTGAATAATGTTTTAACATTTACTGCTTTACGGACTGTAAAGGTTTAACTCTTAAACATGAAATATGTTATCTGTTGGTATAAACAGCTGTTAAAATAACTAAACATTATATAGGTCATGAAATTGTAAAACCAACTCTATGCTCAATTCATAATTTGAATGAAGGTTGTTGGAGTTATTTCATAAAACAAGTTTTAACTTTTTCATAACTTGTCTACGCTGCATTTTGACATTAATTTGCCTGAAATAATGATCGCGAATTTCGTCGAAAAATAGGAAAGTAATTTACTTGTCATAGTCTTTGCTCATTGTATAATCAACATAGCACACATGCTTTTAAATTAAATAGAATGACAATATATAAATTTTAAAGAAAGTAAATGGAAAAGATAGAGATACATTTTATTCCTGTATGAAATCAATGAATCAATTATGATTCAAATAATTATGGAAATGTAGAACGTCAGTCACAGCTACAATGGTAAATTGGGAATTCACAAGTAATTTGTAATTGTGTTAAAGAATATAAATGTCATATTGATATATATTTTTTAATGATTTAATCACTTTTCTTGACATTGATAATGACTAAGATAGACATCCAGTTAGTTATTTGATTCATTTTGGTTGTCTTTTGAGAATAAGTATGAAGCAATATCCATACACTGTTTAACTTGGATTCTATTAAATAGCCCAAGTTTATTTTGATTCAATGGGAAAATGAAATAAATTAACTAAAATTAAAGTGAAAGATAATTTAATGTGACCTACCGAATTAGACTATTTACCGGATTTGTAATAACATTTGTAATAATATTATTTGTAATAACATAAGCAACACGACGGGTGCCACAAGTGGAGCAGGATCTGCTTACCCTTCCGGAGCACCTGTGATCACCCCCAGTTTTTGGTGGGGTTCGTGTTGCATAGTCTTTAGTTTTCTATGTTGTGTCATCTGTACTATTATTTGTCTGTTTGTCTTTTTATTTTTGGCCATGGCGTTGTCAGTTTGTTTTCGATCTATGAGTTTGACTGTCCCTCTGGTATCTATCGTCTCTCTCTTTCTTTGAAAACATTTGATTATGAAGGACAAGCTTTAGTCATAATGATTGTTTTTCAATTTAAGGGTTTTTCCTCTTTTCGTTATTCATTATAATAATAAACTTTTCCCGCTCCATAATTTTATAGAAGTTGTCTCTCTTTGAAGAAGGTGAAGGAAGGAATTTTATAATGTAAATTAACATATATCGTTAGTATCCTAATTGTCGTATAATTCATTATTTTAATCATTTGCGTTACCGTATGTGCCTTTGTGTGTGTTTAATCAAATTAAAAAAAAACACAGTCGGAACCAATACTCTTAAAACTTTATCAGATATTGGCAATCTTTACAAAACATGTGTTTCTTATAAAATTGGCAAGGGTGTTTTTGAGTGTTTTTGTCAACAACCATGCAGTGATAATCCCAATTATAATAACAACAAAAAATGGCAACATCGTATAACAAACCCCTTTACTACTCTTAACTATTTGCTTGCTGAATATGATATGCACCTATGGATGTATTTTACCTCATTTATTGAATAAACCAATGGCTTCAAATAAAATTATGAAATCATGTTTTGATTTAATGCAATTGAAAATCATATCTATCATAAGTCATTCATTAGAAAATCACATTGTTTACATACTTCCACAGTTCAATACAAGTTCACGTATATCTTTCTAGCTACTCTTTATTTATTCTGAAAAACAATCATCAACAATTTGACTTGACACTCGCAACTTATATTACCGTATCAATCTTATATAATTAGATTGATCAGATTTATTGGAAATATAGCATACACAATTAACTTACTGTTAACTACTCGAATAACTCCCCATGGTAACATGAAGGCTAATATGAAAACAAATTCCTGAATAGTATACACCGACAGGCCTTTTAGAAAAACGAGATCAACCACAAAGGACAATGCTACAATACAGGCATCAAAAACCTATAACAGAAATGGAAAAATTATATTATCCCATTGTATTAATAACCCTGGTTAGTTCAATACGCACTGTGATTTATGCCACATGTAGAGCAGAATCGGCTTATCCTTCCGGAGCACCTGAGATCACCCCTAGTTTTTGGTGGGGTTCGTGTTGCTCAGTCTTTAGTTTTCTGTGTTGTGTTTTGTGTACTAGTGTTTGTCTGTTGGTCTTTTTCCTTTTTAGCCATGACGTTGTCAGTTTATTTTCGACTTATGAGTTTGAATGTCCTTCTGGTATCTTTCGCCTCTCTTTTATGTGTGATTAAATACAAATTATTCGGAATCTACTGGATCATTTTTGTTTTCTGAATATTCTCCTTTGTCCTCCTTTCATTTATAATAATTAGATGAAATAACGTGGTCTTTCTTACGCATGCTTGACGTAGGATGTGTATTGCAGCTACGTAGTCGCTGTTTCAAAGTATGCTTTAATAAGTTGATTGTTTTGTCATATAGTCATTATTGTTCCCAGTTGGATTGTTGTCGTTCCTAATGACTGTTATCTCAAAGGAAGAATATGAAAAAGCTGGCAATTCAAAGAGCAGGCTGATGATTTAGTGACCTGTTTATTAAAACGCTGTACATGATATTGTGGATAATTTCTACAGAAAAAAAACCCAACAAAATGTAACGTTTGTTAAATGAATCATTCTATTCATATTTTCTGTTTAAGGGTCAGTTTATCGCAAAGATGTCGAATATTGGGATTTTTACATTTGATCTTAGTGTATTTTGAACGAATTGATACGAATAAGGTCAAAATTTGAAAAAAAGATCATGACAAGGTGGAAATAACATTTACAAAAGAGTAAAATGGTGGGTTAAACCTGGTTTTATAGATATCTAATCCTCCCACTTGTATGACAGTTGTTTATAGTTCCGTTATATTGACAAAAATCGCCTTATAATTCAAATGTTTAAAAACGAAAAAGTAATGTTAACCAGATTGCTACCGCCAATATACTGGACATAATATTCATATGACTTCTTATTCTACAGGAAATAACTGATAGAAATCGATCCACACCGATTTTCAAATCCATCTGCAATATTACTGATTTAAACATGTAGCGTTATTTTTTTTTTAACTCTGCTAAAGAATGTAAACAAGGGACGGCTTCAGAAGCTGATATCAAGTTGTTTTCATTTAGAAGGGGAATAGCTCCCTAAAAAAAATTATAAACACTCCTAAAATATTTGATCAGAGTTTTATTTTCAAACTCGTCAGAAAAATTGTTGATGTTACTAGCCGTGTTTTTCGAACTCACTTTTGAATTTGTTGATGTAGACCTTTATACATTTTTTTTTAAACTCCGATTAGAACTGTAGGTATGTTTTTATATTTTCAAGGGCATACATTCCCCAAAAATTGATTTATCAAGATGTTCTAATTCTTCCGATATATTAATGAGGTTAACATCTGACATACATTCTTTTCAAATCTGAGAACAACATTAGGTTTGAGAGCGCTTTTAATGTCGGTTCTACCTCAGGAAAAAATTACCTTAGCTGCATTTGGCAAATCGTTTAAGAATTTTGGGTCCTTAGTGCTCTTTAACCTCGTACTTTATTTGGCCTTTTTAACTTTTTTTTATTCGAGCGCCACTGATGAATTCTTTGATTCAGTGTGTTTATCGTGTTTGTCGTGTGCATCTAAACCAATATGCGATAATAGAACATGCAGAGGTGGAATGCAAATAACGGAAGAATTAGAAGAATATATACACGTATTAGAACTCTACATACCTCCAATTTTTTCTCAAAAAATTGTTTCCCAAAACATATAACTTTGAATATTGTCTGAAAAATAAAAACATTGCTATATTAATATATGAAGACACTGTCACATATAAAAGAATAACAATTTAAAAAAATAATAATCAATAAAAGAACAGAATTTTATATGCAACTTATTCAAATATTGCGTACATCTCAGTTCAGCAGTGTTAGAAACAATTCTTTTCCTATTAAACAAAAGAAAACAATGTATTTTTATGTCATAGTAATCTCGAAAATTTATACTATTACTAGCACCTTTGAAACAGTAACTGCGTAAAAATAGACAGTTTCAATTAATAATAATAAACATAAAAATGATTAAACACGACCAAAACAAAAAATCAAAAGACAATTCCAGTACCAACGATTTGAATAAATACAATCATGATAGTAGAACCTATTTAAAAGGCCGGGTTCCATTTTTATATTTCTTTGCTCGTATGTAATGTTTAATTGTTCTTGCAGCGTTAAATGTGTATTTCATTTGTATTAGGTTTCGAAAAGAAAATAAATGAACTCAATCTCAATCACAACAGATGCGATAATCTTAAAATGTGAATAAACTCATCATAGATACAAGGGGCCTGTTTATCGAAACTGTCCTAACATCGGTCCTAAGAATTTCTTAGGACAGAAATTAAGATAAAGTTAGGACCGACTTACGACATGTCTCAGCATGCACATCGAAGCTATCTTAGGATTATCTTAGCTAGGATGTCCTAACCGCTGTCCTAAGTATTGGCGTAAAAGAAAATAACAAATTAAAAATGAAAAAATGAAAATATTGTATCAAATTTAACCAATAACTATAATTTTAAAAAAAGAATAATAATTAGAAAATAATTATTAGTTTTAAATTAAAGGTGATAAATACTTTTTATATTATAATTGTACATTTAAACTCATAAAACAAAACATAAGACAAAAAATATAACTACGTTTTATATAAGAATTGAAACAAACGAATTGTAAATAGTTAAAATAAAATATATAATCGGTAAAATCATTATATGCTTTTAGTGAGCTGAATTCGAAGTGTCACGGTTTCATACTTAAAAGTTCAAAGGCAAATCTCGTGCATCTTTCATATAAATACTGAGTACTTCAACTATTTTATTACTGCAAATAACATGCGATAATACGTGTTAATATAAGAGACGAAATTCGAATTCTACCGATGCAAAACTACAGACTCTCCTGGACGACGTGGACAAGAGTAACACTTTGCTTTTTGGTAAATTGCCAAATGTTGCAACAAATGGTGCTGAAAAGAGGGATAGGGTTTTAATATGCATTAAGGGAACTACCATTTGATTTTTATGGGGTGGGGGGGGGAGTCGGGGGTGGAGGGGGGACTAGGATGAAATTTGAAAAAAGGCAGGACAGGAGTTTGGAGTAAAAAAAAAAGGCAGGATGAGCAACTTTGCAAAAAAAAAAAGCTAGATGACAATTTATGTAAATAAAAGTCAGGATGAACTAATAAAATAAAGGAAGGACAGGAATTTGGGATATAAAAAAGGCAGGACGAGGAACTTTGCAAAAAAAGGCAGGATGACAATTTACATGTATGTAAAAAAAAAAAAAGAAGTCAGGATAAACTAATAAAAAAAAGGCAGAACCGAATAGAGTGAAAAATAAAAAGGAAGGACAGAGATTACAACAACAAAAAAAGGCAGAACAACATTTTTTATCCCCCCCCCCCCCCCCCCCCGGTCATAAAAATCAAATGGTAGTTCCCTAAAGTAAATGCAACCAATACAGGCCATATTTGTTTATAAAACAACCATCCAAAATTGGTATCCTAAAGTTAGGACAATTCCTAGGATTTTCCTAAGTTACGATATGTTTGATAAACCCACTTAGGACTAAGATATGTCCTAAGTTGGTCTTAGGACACGTCCTAATCCTAAGACTGCTCCGATAAACAGGCCCCTGGATTAATATTTTGTCCACCAGTCGTGCGTTTCGTCTATAAAAGACTCATCAGTGACGCTCGAATAAAAAAGTAAATGAGCCAAATTAAGTACGTAGTTAAAGAGCATTGAAGACACAAAATTCTGAAAGGTTTTGCCAAATAAAGCTAAGGTTATCTTTTCCTGAGGAAGAAAATCCTAAGAATTTAGTTTTGTAAATAGTTAATTTATACATTTTGACCATATCAATGGTAATTCATGTCAATATAGACTTTTTAAAATGAAAGATGACCTTGGTAGCTTTGTTTGTATAGATAGAAATGCTGAAATAATATTTACGGTACCGTTTTTACGGCACCAGATGCGAGTTTTGACAATTAATGTCTCCTCCGTGATGCTCAAAACAAAATAATATTGACCATGTTGTATTCGAAATTACAATAACGTGTCCGTTCACTATATTTCATCAATATTACAGAATATTTGATTAATTTGGAACTTATCTCACCTCTGTTAATAAGATAAGCACAATACCAATACTAGTTGCATGGAAACCACGAGCAATTTCTTCTTCCGTGCTCTCAGGAGTACTATGTTTGTGGTCTTTGTCCTGTGATGAATTAATGTCATCACTTCCAGACGACCTCTTTAACCTATGTTGTCCGGAGTAATACTGACCTCTATGTCTTTTGTGTAACCTTTCATTTTTGTTTCTAACTTCATTGGTAATTTTGATATCTTCGAAAACAAATCTCCTGACTTTGTATCCAATGTAATCTTGACTGTCAGCTTTCGGAACAGGGTCAATTGATGTGTCATTTATCCATTCAATATTCGCGTTAGATAATTTTGAGTATATTTCTTCAAGATAAGAAAGATCAGTATATTCTATTTCATCTGGATATTTATTTTGCAGGTTTTCAAGGAATGTTGAAGAAGATTGTTCTACATTTGTCAGTATATCTGAAAGAAAATTAGATTCAAAATTAAGGTGGTACCAAACACCTTGACTAAAATTAATTTGGCTCGTTTAATTTTCATAAAATTTTGACAAAATATTTACTTTGACCCTTTGTCAAAAAGATAAAAATTTCAAAAAACTTGAACCACACATTTTATCGGAAAAATTTCATTCGATATATAGCAGTTTGACACTAATTTTGATCATTAAGAAGCTTAATATTTCCTAACAATAGAACGTGATTAAAACGTTGAGCTGATTTTTACAGAGTTATCTCCCTGCAGTGTTATGTACCACCTTAAAATCTTCAATCAATGTATTGTGTATGCATAAACAGAATACCCTTCCACTATTCCCTTCTGCATATTATTAAAGAACATACGTAGCACAAAAAGCTAATATGAGCACTGCCAACACATTTCGTTCTCTTTTAGTTTTCTTCACTATCGTTTCCTTGTTTTTTCGACTTCATGTCTAATTTTCATTATACATTTTTCATTGTAGATATGAAAATAAAACACCTGATGAATGACTTCTTTGTTGATTTGTCTTCGATACAGAAAAATATATACATAATTACTGACGTCATCTTAAAGAAAAGTTATGTGAACATATTTCAAGCAAAAATAAGTTTCAAATTGTTTTGATTACTAGAAATCGAGAACAACACCATGTGTTCGATGGAATTTTGTGTGGTATGAAATCAGATCAAAGGCTTTTATTTTTGTTGTTACCATTACTGTTGCGTTCACGTTTGTAGTAAACAATAATGGTAAATTGTTATGTGTGATAAGGACAAAATTTTATCTTAATTGGCCTTATTTTGATCATTCTTATCATGTATTGGCTGCCAAACATTTCCAAACATTAATTTATTACACCAATAAACAGAATAAGCACATTATTAATTAATAGATACAATGTGCAATGTTTCAGATTGAAAGGAAGAGCAACATAATCACACAAAATATACGTTAAAGAATCTGATGTACTTAAACTATGTTGCAATTTATAAACAATTAACATTCCCTTAAATAAATGTTTATAACCTTTCACATGATGAAGATCAAGTATGAGTTCACCAAGAACTAGCCCGCAGTCAAATACGTTGAGTATCACAATCATCATTAAAACATTTTTGCTGCGGAGTAACTTCCGGCCTTTGTGGAGAAACCTGTCGAAAAAAAGGAAAAACAAATATTCGAAGTGCGTCTGTTAATGGAAGAATTTATTTATTTTACAGAAAAATTGAGTGCATACCAAACAGACTAAGACGTTTTCGATTTCTATTTTTCCTGGCTTAATAACAAGACGAAATAAGCAAGTACTTTCTAAGTTGTACAACACTACCAGATACCTTACATATCTAATAAATGGAAATCAATGTAAGACTCTCGTTCAGACATTTTATTGCTTTCTGAAGCTAGTTATGATCGAGGTGAAGGATAAAATTATAAAGAATTTAGACAAAAGTGACCAACATTAAAATGTATTAGGGAGCTTTTGTGTCTTTATAGTTTGAAAAGACTTTTTATGCAGACATTCCAGTAACACATCTCCAATATTTCAAACTGTTTTTGTAATGTTGTTATGTTGAAATGTGAAATTGTTTATGTTCTTTTGTTCATTTTAGATTTCATGTTATACATCTTCATGGGGAAATGCCAATCAAAACAATAATTATTTATCAAGCAAGTTTTCCTGTTCCGTGTATGACATCGCCGAATAAGACGTTTGTCACAAGTGAGCAGGAAATCGCTTTCCATTCCTGAGCACTTGAGTACATGACCAGTTTTTGGATGTGTTCATGTTAAAAATCTGTGTAGTGTTCTGTGGACTATTGGTTGTCTGTCCAATGTATGTTTTTCTTTTGACCATTTGATTGTTTGTATCTTCAACTTATGAGTTTTTGGTCCCTACTATGGTATATTCTTCTCTTTGTTTCTAGTTAAATATATATGGAAAATGTTTTTCTTATTTTTTAAAAAAATTCACAACAAAATATTTTAGAGGAATTATAATGTTCAATTAGTATTATACAGACTATAATAAAACTATGTCATTACTCAATGAATCTACAGTACTCGCGTGATGTCTGCTCTTTTGATACCAACACTGCAATCTATAATTGGTGTGCAGTATCAAAAGCTATTAAATCGATCGTATCAATAGGAATTATATGATACATGTTTACTTTATGAAAGTGATCACCAACATATGTAATTTATCACATTACAACTGATAGAGCTTATCATCACGTGCAATATTCGTCAATTTACTTTCTAAACATAACAACGAATTTTAATTAACGTTGCTTGTATCTGTTTATAACCTCAATTTACCTACATCAGAACAATAACCTGATAATACATATACATCACGATTTCTTTTTTTTTGTAGGACCACACTGTGCATTTAATAAGGAATACCAATTTGATGATCATCATATAATCGCAACTTGAAAAACGTTATGTTTACATATAAACATAAACTTTAAGTGCATTATAATCTTTTCGTACATTTTTTTTTTGGCTTATAATAATTAAAGAAAGTTTTCGACATATAGTCTTCTATTAAAAGGATAACATGAATTTTACGTTTAGGAAACAGTCTCGATTAAGATTGCTCCTGTTTACTAAGATCGCTTTAATTGATTGGACGATTTATTTATTTTCTTTAAATAACCGGAATAAATGATATCACTGTGTCTTAACTACCCCGGCAAAAAATGTTTGGACTCGATAGTATCTAATGTCCGGTACGGTGACGGACAATCAACAGACAGAGAAAAGGTAGAATTTCTATTTATTTATTTGTTTTTTAATGACATTGAAGAATAAACATACACATATAACTATTTTCGATTGTGTGATGTAATATTTTCTACAACCGTTCTAGATTAATGGAGAAATAAGTAAAAAGGCACATGAAAATGGTGAATTGAGTGAACCTTGCTACGAATTTGTTTAATTTCTTTTTAAATTGTGCACATTGTACGGAAAGAAAAGTACGGAAAGAAAGATATTAACACAGAGATTGCATGGCTAGTCACTATGAGCACCTCAATATTTGCATTTCTGTGCATGGAACGGAAGAAATGGGTCATGTCAAAATGGAAGGACCCTGTTTCGTCAATGTTGTTTATTACACAAGGACCCTGTTTTGTCTCAGTATAGGACCCGGTTTTGTTTTGTTTTGAAACCACAAATATATGAAAAGCTACTTTAGCACGGATCTGGACATTGCCCATCGGAAGAAATTAAATATTTGAGTCAAAAAGATGTTATACAGATGTTATTGCAATGCAAACATGTGTTAAAATATATTTCAAACGGGAACTTTTCGAAATAGGGAGTAGACATTTTTGAATGCTATACGTATACCTTATTGATCTTATCTTCGATCTAAGTTTAAATGGAAATAAATACTTTATATCATGTACTTACATTAATTCCTTATGATAGAAAAAAGAAGATGTGGTGTGATTGCCAATGAGACAACTCGTCACAAGAGATCAAATGACACAGAAATTAACAACTGTAGGTCGCCGTACGTCCTTCAACAATGAACAAAGCTCATACAACATAGTCAGCTATAAAAGGCCCCGAAATGACAAGTGTAAAACAATTCAAACGAGGAAACTAACGGCCTGGTTTATGTACAAAAAAAAAATGAACGAAAAACAAATATGTAACACAGCAACAAAGACAACCACTGAAATACAGGCTCCTGGCTTGGGACAGGTAAATATATATAGAATGTGACGGGGTTAAACATCTTAGCGGGATCCCAACCCTCCCCCTTACCTGGGAAATTGGTGTAACAGTACAACATAAGAACAAACTATAAAAATCAGTTGAAAAAGGCTTAAGTCATCAGATGGGTACAAATAGAAATACATCTCAAAAATGTTTGTTTGTTTTCTATACTACTGTAATGATGTAAAAATAAGAAGATGTGGAATGATTGTGTTACCATATCAATTTATCAAAAGAGTAAGGATAGTATGCTTTACTACACTATACACTATGTTTACAATATATTTACTCATTCGTTCATCCATTGACGGACAGTGAGAGAAAAAGCTCCGTTTTGAAGGCCGTACTTTGACCTATAATGGTTTACTTTTACAAATTGTGACTTGGATGGAGAGTTGTCTCATTGGCACTCATACCACATCTATTAGAACGTTTTGGATATCTCAAATCAATATGGTTGCCTTTCGAACGTGTATTTTATGTCCGCTTCGAAATACACAAGTTCTAAACTTCCCCATTAGAAACAAAATAATTCTATCATGCCATGCTCTACGCTCATTTTAACATAGGTAGGCATTATATTTGTCAATATTTTATACCTGGCTAACGCTTGGTTTAAAAATTTTAACAAATATAATGCCTTCCTATGTTAAAATGAGCATTGAGCATGGCATGAAAGAATTATTTCTTTTTATAAATAAAAGTTGGTTTGCAACATTATAACGTCCAATATCTTCGTCTTCGTCTTCGTAGAACAACCTAATTGGCAATTTAGCCCGTGAAAATGACGATGAGACAGCTTTCCATCAGAGACCAAATGATGTAAAAGTTAACAAATATAGAACACCGTATGGCATCCAACAATGAGAAACGCCCATACGGCATAGAAAGCTAAAAAAGGCCCCGAAATGAAAACTGTAAAAACAAAAACTAATGTGAAAACTAACGACCTAGATTTATGTACAAAATAAAAAACGAATAACAAATACATGTATGATATACAGCAAAAAAAGACAACAACCGATTTACAGGCTCCTAGATTCGGTACTGGCACATACAGAATGACGGGGTTGAACGTGTAAGCCCCCCAGCTCCCCCTCCAAAAAAAAACAAGAAAAAAAACTGGTATAACAGCACAACATATGAACAAACTATAAAATTCAGTGAGTTGAAAAAGGCTTAACTCATTTGATTACAGAGCCCCTATAGTAAATATGCGATTGGCGGCTGTCTCTGTTTTTTCGTCTTTTATTAAATTCTATGATGGTATACGATATAGTTACATTATATCAGTGGCGGATCCAGGGGAGTAGAGGAAGAACGCCGACCCCTCCCCCCTTTTGGTGGCTAGAAATAATTATTTTATCATGTTTTTTACGATTTATATATGATTTTTTATTTAGCATAAAATCGTTAAAAAAAAGTTCCCCTTGCAACGCTCGGCGGTATAAAATCCGTTTATGAATACGCCCCTTTAAAAAAGTCATGGCCTCGGTCCGCCCTTGCATATTGACAATTTAAAACTTGACCAAATTGGTTAAATTGTAGAACATTTGTCAATGTACGATGATCATTATACAATGAAGAGATAAACCTATATATAATAGTTGTACTATATAGGACAGTTGTTAACAACTTGATACTAGCGCATTAAAGAATTTGTTAATGTTAAAAAAAAAGAAGAAAAAAAAGAGAGATAAAACATCGTTTATTTATAAAAATTACTAATCAAATAATCATTATTGCAATTTCCGGATGGCCTAAGACTTTTATACTAATTTATACTTAGTATTATTGTAACAAGGAGGGTAAACAGATTTTTAACGCACTATTATTGTGATCCTTTGCGCCGCATGGAAATTCCTTTTCTTGGGCGATTCTGCATGCACATACATTTGTCTTATTTTCTTGCTTTATAATGAACGTTTAGTTTCAGAATATTTATTTTCAACCGATTATACTGTCTTCCCTTTAAGTAGAGCGGACACTAAGATAACCATCTTGTTGTCCCAGAAAATCCCATATCAAATGTGCGTCCTTAAATTTTCAAAGCCGTACACTAATTAAGTTTGAACACTTAAATTTGTATAGATGATATAAAAAAATCTAATTCCGTTTCAAAACCTTCATTTCTTTTTAATTTTTCCTTTTTTTTTTATACAAAACAAAATTGAAATTTGCTTTCTTCTAATATAGCAGGAATTCAAGTGTTTACGGATTCAAAAAGGTTATAAGTTATCCTCTGAAAGAAAATGTTTTTCAACGATCCCTCAAACTGCTGTTGAACGCCATATTTTTATTTTCGTCATGCGATTATGCATTATTTTCTATGACAAAACCGGGTGTGCTTTGTGAAATTTAAGGACAAAACCGGGTCGTACACATTGACAAAACCGGGTGCTTCAATTTTGACATG